CCTGCTAACAGATCAAGTTTTGTTGGAATATAACGTTAAGGTGCTTGTGTTAAGCCAGCTGGCCTTTTCAGACATGTACCTTTCTGGTCAAGAAGCTGGGCTGTTTCAGATGTACCATTCTGTTCAGGAAGCTGGCCTTTTCAGACACGTACCTCTCTGGTCAAGAAGCTGGGCTGTTTCAGATGTACTGTTCTGTTCAGGAAGCTGGCATTTTCAGACACGTACCTCTCTGGTCAGGAAGTTGGGCTGTTTCAGACACGTACCTCTCTGGTCAGGAAGCTGGGCTGTTTCAGATGTACCACTCTGGTCAGGAAGCTGGCCTTTTTCAGTTGTTTTCACTTTAACAAGATGAGATTGTTTATCAGTTACTTGAATTTAATGTAAATTGTAAAGTCTTATTGGTAAGAGCCATAATTGTTTGAATTACTAAAAAAAAGTTTTGAATCTATTTTTTCATGAGGTTGTAAAACTGTTAATTTTAGAAAATTACAAACATATTTTGTGATACCAGGCCTAGTAAAATGGAGAACACTAACTTTATCACTGATAAAAAATCTGCTTTTATGCTGTTCTTGATGTTCATTCAGTTCTTGTCTGTGCTTTGCATGAGATGTGTGTTAATAAAATTGTGTTCAAAAATAATTCTGTGAATGTACATGTAATACACTGTTGAAGTTTTCTTACTACCATATTTTTAGTGAAAATGTTTTTTAAGTTTCCTGTAACTTCATTGCTTTTGTTCTGCAGGTTCTGGAGAGGAATGTATAATCGGTTTGAGAATGGTGTCCACCCCAGGGAACCACTAGGAGATCTCTTACTTGCAACCAAAGATCATATCAGTAGTCTAGAAGATCACGTGATCCTCCTGCAGAGAGTAATGATTTTTGTTACCAAACTTGTTGAAGTAGACACCTGTAGGTGATTTCTTGGGAAAGTAGAACATTACTTATATTTACCTACATCTGAATGCTTCAAAATGTTTTGTTTTCTCTGATGGAAGAGTTTTACTTAATTCCACCAGGTGCATTAGGAAGATAGAATTGGCACTCCCCCTCCCCATGGAAAATGAGAAGCATAATTCTTTGTTTATTCATTTATCATATTTATATGAATTTACAAGTTTTTTATTCACAATTTTTTTTATAATATAATTTATAATTTTATTCATAATTACACATAATTTTCAGTTCTAATAAAAGTCACCAGGTTTGTTAGCAGCTTTACTTAAAATCTCTAGATACTTACCCTGAAGCTAAATGTATAAAAAACGTCACTACTATGGCGACCTCTTGGATACTAGACATGGCAGTTGTCACATAGGTCATCAAAGAAAGTGACAGGGTCTTTTGAACATCCCTTGAACCCTAACATGGTGTGATTGAGCTCCTGCCAGTAATGCCCATTGTGTTTTAGTAAGTTATTTTGTATTTACGAGATGAAGATTCCAGGAAAAAGAAAACAACAAATGTTTTATGTTATGATATATTTTTTTATATTTGTAGCTCAATACGCAAAATGATAGTAATAGTTTTAATTTTAGAACTAATTTCAAGAATAAAACTAATAAACACATAGTTTGATTAAATGTATTAAGGTAAAAATATTTCAGTGTTTTTGATAAATTTCACCAAGGCATGAAATTTATTTTTCATTTTGTTCTAAAGAAACATAAATTCAAAAGACAAAAGTGTGTATAAGTTGATGTTTATTTTCACTTTGTTTTTATTGTCTAAGATTGTAGATTTTATTATACTCTATGGAATGGGGATGTTGTGTAAAATTGTAGCTTTGAGTTATATTTATGGTTTGGGGTGCGTTGATTGTGTGTTTTGTGAAGTTGTTGCTTTGAGTTATAAGTACAGTTTGAGGTGTGTTGATTTTGTGTTGTGTGAAGTTGTAGTTTTGAGTTATACGGTTTGAGGTGTATTGTGGGAAGTTGTAGCTTTGAGTTATATATATACACGGCTTGAGGTGTGTTGTGTGAAGTTGTAGCTTTGAGTTATATGGTTTGAGGTGTGCTGTGTGAAGTTTTAGCTTTGAGTTATATATATAGTTTGGGGTGTGTAGATTATGTGTTGTGTGAAGTTGTAGCTTTGAGTTATATATATATATATATATATATATATATACATGGTTTGGGTGTTGTGTGAAGTAGCTTTGAGTTATACTGTATAGAATGAGTTAAGGAAATATGCATCCAGAGCTTGAAATTGAAGAGTTTACTTGATGGTTAGCAATCTCAACATTAAAAGTGAAGTTGAAGAGCGTGTAAAAAGTGATAAATATAAAATTTACAAGGTTGGATAACATAGGTGCAGCAATAACCCAACAACTTCAAGCTGCATCAGTTGTCTTGTGCAGCTTTGGATCTTGAAGATAACTGAATTATTTTTATAGAATCTAGGACAGTGGTTCACAAACTTGAATCACCTGAGGACCGTTTTTAATTATTTTGTTTTTGCAGACCTCAAACCTATTGTTTTTTTACTTTGGGAAAAAATTCTGTGTACATGAAAATCTGTATTCCAAAATTAAATTTTTTAATTCATATAAATGTAATTTTACAGAAAATATTTTATCCTATAAATCATATCTTTTTTTAAATATTTATATGAAATTTCAGATATGACTTGCAGACACTCCCCCCTGGAGTACCCTTTTGGACCCTAGTTGGAGAAAAGCTGATTTAGGATATTGTTTGTGTAACTGAATTCTGTGTTTGATTTTAATTATGAGTGGTTCACCAGTCATATAACTAATTTGTTTCATATTATATATATATATATATATATATTCCTGTGTCTATGTAAACTATGTTCCTGATGATGAGCCTCCAGTGGCTCAGTGGTAAGTCTCTGGACTTACGATGCTAAAAATGAGGTTTCAGTACTCTTGGTAGGCACAGTCCAAATAGCCCATTGTGTAGCATTGTGCTTAACAACAAGCAAAACCTAGTTGACATTTTGTACATTTGTTACTGTATTAAACATGAAATAAAGTTGTTTTCGTTATCCATTCAAAACATCTTTTAAAAGTTCATAAAGAATTATAATTTTTCATAGTTACTTGTTGTAAATTAAATTTTGGAATCAATGTTTGTTCCAGCAAAATTAATGATATTTTATTGCAGAGAATTGGTCAGTTGAAGGAAGTACTGGGTCACGTGGACAGTCCAAGTAAAGACATTGATTCTCGAATGACTGATAGTGGTATGGCTGAGGAAATTGATGGTCTTAGTTTCTGTCCAAATACTTTAGAAGAACTTGGCATTGGACTTGAAGGAAGCGAGAACAGTGTTCGAGATTCAGGTGTCAGTGATGTCGAAAGTGGAGGCTTAGACGCGAGAGACATGGATTCTTTACTTCAGCATAGCTGTGAGTATAAATATATATATAGATGTAGAGAAAGAAGAGAACATGGCTACTATTATAGTGCAATAAGTTTGTTGCATCTACTAACACTGACCTTATTGGTGCCCATAGCGAGTAGCAGTGCCCTAGACTCTGCCGTGATACAGCAGCTGGCTGATGAGTTGGATTCTGTTGCCTTGGACTGGAAGAGCTTTCGGAATGTCCGAGAGTGTTTGTGTTCCACACCTTTTGATCATTTCAGCAGGAAGGTGAGATAGTCAGTACATATATATTATATCTATGTACATAATTACCCCACTAAAGTCAGTACTTGTATATTATATCTATGTACATAATTACCCCAATAAAGTCAGTACTTGTATATTATATCTATGTACATAATTACCCCAATAATATCAGTGCTTGTATATTATATCTATGTACATAATTACCCCAATAAAGTCAGTACATGTATATTATATCTATGTACACAATTACCCCAATAAAGTCAGTACATATATATTATATCTATGTACATAATTACCCCAATAAAGTCAGTACATGTATATTATATCTATGTACATAATTACCCCACTAAAGCCAGTACTTGAATATTATATCTATGTACATAATTACCCCCACTAAAGCCAGTACTCAAATATTATTTTCTTACTTGTGGTGGTATGTCAGAGTTTTTTTTTTTGGTAATCCCCTGGTGGTAAATTACAATGTTTCTTTTATGCTCTGCATACACATGCACTCTGATGTTTGTAACTTATGTTCACCCTCTGTTTTCAGTGAAACTGCATCAGGAAAAGTCTTGTCTGATTAGTGGACAGAGCAGACTGTTTTGACAAAATTAGTTGACATAGTCGCTTTGTATTGCTAGAACAGTAAGATAAAGTTATTTTAATGAGATCCTGTTGTTCAACTTTTTTATTACATTTGACTTTGATCCTGGAGATCATGTAGATGATTTTGTTTTGTTTAATAACATATGAAGAAGTATTTTTGCTGGAGTGAGAAACAGGACTGTAAAGAACTTGTAGAGTTATACAGAAATCAAAAACCTTTATAATGTGGAATAAACTAAGTCAGTTTCATTGAAATCAGCACATTTATCAGAAGTGAGTGAGAAAATGTATTTAACAGTGAAATCAAAGTACGGGTTAAACAAATTAAGATCTTTTGACAACAGACTTTCCCATTAAACATTAAGATGTTGAATGAGGGTGTGTTTAGGTTGAAGTAATAAAACCATATCTCCTTACAGAACTGAATATTACATAATACTGACTTGTTGCCAGATGTACTAGAGAACAGTTGAATAAATGGTTCTTGTTTCTTTATTAAGTTTCACTGTTGGAGTTGTGGAGATGTATACTGCATTCGCTGCATTGACAAACGAATACCACTGCAAGGGCATTACAGTAAACGGCCAGTCTCAGTCTGCAGGCACTGCTATAAAGAGCTAATGAGGACAAACTCTATAGATTCTTAGAGACTACAGATTGTAAAGATTTGGTTTCAGTAGGTGTCATCATCACAGTGGCTATATTTGTACGATTGTGAACATTCCAAGTCTGTTTTATTTCTTACAAGTTGTTTATCGCTGTAACTTGTAGTGAATTTACTTGATCTCGGATTTGCGTCCATTGATCTTAAAGTTCTGAATCAGTCTAGTTTGTTTGTTAATTCAGAAATGTTTTACGTATTTGCTAGCTTGATTCAACACATAAAGTGTTTATTTTTTCTGAGTCCCAACATTAACAAGTTTTGTATAGGCAGTCTAATAAAATTATTAGATGGTCAAACTGTAGCTCCCTTGTGCATGACTTGAGAAGTGTAATAAATGAGTTTAGTTTGTATAAATACACTTTTTAGTTTCAAGTTTTGCTGGTCACATTAATACGTAATCAAAATTTTCATATAAATCAGGATATTCTAGTAAGTGATTTTTTTGAATGAGTAAAGAACAAATAGTCTGTGACATTTATAAAATGATTGAAAATACTGCTTTGTTGTGACTTTTATTTTAACTCTTGTTATTAAAAGCTTTGACTAGAATCAGTTAATTCTACACAAACTTAATATTGGTAAATGCTAGGCTTTATATGTACCGTTTTCCAAGCTATGATCGAAGTTAGTAAATATTTCCCTTGACATGGTGATGAAGATGAGATTAATTGTTTTATGTTATGATTTTGTAGTTGAGTATTTTTGCAAGCTTTAGTAAAGTTGTTTAAAATTTTGTGATGAATGATTAACTTGTGAAGAATTGTTTTATTCTCAGTTGAAATAAGTTTAAAATGTATCAGTACATTTCTGTATATAAAGACATTTTTAAAGGCTGCCAAAGTAAAATCAATGACTGTTTGTACGTTGTGGCCTTAAGTCTTTGAGCAATTAGTTTGTTGTAGGAATAATTTAAAAATGTGTTCAAACAGTATTTTGTCTTAAAAAGGGTAGTACATTATGATTCCAGCCTTTTTTTTTTTGGTATCAGAAGTTTAATTTGTGATAGTAAGTGGTACTTGGTCAGTAGACGAGATTTCATCAGGTTTACCACCATCTGCTACGATATCGTCGGGCTTTGAATCCTTTATTTATGATACTTGTATTGAAGTTACAGAGATGGCAATGTTTAGGAAAGTATCGATTCTTTGTTATAGCACAATCTGTCTTCTTCGTGGAGATGTTCACTCTAAGGTACACAAGTTTCCCACTGTCGTCTCTCGAAAATTATGAATTCTTAAGAGCTATGCACAGTATATTCTATTCATTTTATGCAGTATTTGATTGTTTAATCATAAAAATAAGAAGGATTATGAGTAAGCATGTTTTAAGTCCCATCAATGTATATGTATTTGGGTGTGATTAATAACTTGAAGAATAAATTTAGAAAACAAAATGAAAATATCTATCTTGTGTATTGATCCAAGTAGGAGTTTACTAAGTCCACTTGAAAAACGTTGATGTAACACCTGACTAAATTGTGAATGTTTTTATTTCTCCATAGTGACTTTCATAGTCAGTAGTTACAAGTATATTCTACTGAAGGTTTACGCTCATTCAGAGTTACATAAAACTGTTACCTTATCAATACTCTGATGGCATAGTTTTTCTAATTATTTTCAGGAGACAATATTCAGAAAATATCTTAACCAAAAACCAGATTTATCTATCAACGATCAGTTTAAGGTGTATCAGTAAATGTTATTAATACTGTGTACATTAATTAAGTTAATAATACCTGTTAATACAACTGTCATGATCACGAGGAATGTGATAGGAATATTAAATCATCTTCTGGCATATTACGAGATCAGTAGTGTAAAGAACACATGGCTGACATTAACATTACCTGGAATCTTTGTGTGCTTTAACTGTTCTCAAGGCAAAAGGTCCACAAAAAAATATTTTAATACAATGGCAAATTTATGATAACATTGCCAAGCTGTGGATGATGAAAGTTAGACTACCCAGAACAATACTTACCGGGGACAGCTTCCCCAAGTACTCATGCCCAACAGTTGAAACTCATAAGTGTGTTAACTTGGAATATTGTACCATAATAGTGATAAGTGTGTTAACTTGGAATATTGTACCATAATAGTGATAAGTGTGTTAACTTGGAATATTATACCACGATAGTGATTCATGTGTTAACTTGGAATATTATACCATGATAGTGATATGTGTGTTAACTTGGAATATTATACCATGATAGTGATACGTCTGTTAACTTGGAATATTATACCATGATAGTGATACGTCTGTTAACTTGGAATATTATACCATAATAGTGATACATCTGTTAACTTGGAATATTATACCATGTTAGTGATATGTGTGTTAACTTGGAATATTATACCATGATAGTGATACGTGTGTTAACTTGGAATATTATACCACAATAGTGATACGTCTGTTAACTTGGAATATTGTACCATAATAGTGATACGTGTGTTAACTTGGAATATTATACCATGATAGTGATACGTGTGTTAACTTGGAATATTATACCACAATAGTGATACGTCTGTTAACTTGGAATATTATACCATGATAGCGATACATGCGTTAACTTGGAATATTATACCACGAAAGTGATACGTGTGTTAACTTGGAATATTATACCTTGATAGCGATACGTGTGTTAACTTGGAATATTATACCACAATAGCGATACGTGTGTTAACTTGGAATATTATACCTTGATAGCGATACGTGTGTTAACTTGGAATATTATACCACAATAGCGATACGTGTGTTAACTTGGAATATTATACCACGTATTATATCAGTTTTGTACTCTTGAACAGGCTATTGTAACAGTAACAGGCGAGACAACTCAAACATAATATTTGACAAAGTATACTTTTAATGACGACTGATACACCAACACACTTAGTTGCAAGAGCAATAAATAATCTGTATTATAATCTACGATAGTCATTGTAAGATCTGGTTTCATGTAGAACTTGTTGTAAGATACTACAAAACTGAATCTTTACACAAACAATCTACTTCAATGTAATTAGTACTATTTAACGTTAAAAAGATTTCCACTTTTGAAATACGAAAAAACTTAACATTTCAGATCAGCTTAAAAATAAAATTTTATTCTAGTTCTTAATAATTAAATATATGTAGATTGTAGCATTCTACTTTCTATACCAGAGGAAATACCGACACAGTTTTATTAAACTCTCTACTCACTGTGTATGTTGGAATAATAGTGATTACGTTTACTCTTGATAATATTTACAGCTATATTATTTTGCTATATATATGTATATTCTAACTATATTTTTTTCTCTATCAGTAAGTTAAACTACACAGCTACAGCTTACTTACCAGTATGCTAACGTTATTGTACAAGACTAATACAGCCTTCATCCTTGCAATCTTCAAAACTATTGTAAGATACTTAATTTCTAACACATCAACAGAAAAAAATCCCAGCCTAAATTCACAAGTAACCAGGTGTGTGACTAGCTAAATGAATGTTAACCAATAACAAAATTCTTGTGTCAGCACTGGAGTAACTGGTTTTATGCTCATAGAAGTATGTAATAAAAGAATTCTAACCCACCAGTGAAAAACTGAATAGGTTTGGGTGCAAGAACTTGCCTACTTCATTCCAGTGAAATACACAGAAGCCTTTTATATGTATATTACAAGCACTAACATGGATTTTGCTTGACAGAAGGTTTAAGCAGAAGAGTATATTTGAAAGACATTGCTAAAGACACTGCTAACGGACTACATCTGTCTACGAAGTGTCTGAATGATGTATGGAGCTGCTAGTGCAAATATTTATCGGGTAAGAATGTGGTCTTCACGAGTTGGAAACAAAAACTAAAGAGGAGAGCTCCAGTCGGGTTATATAGTTAACCTGAAGCTCAAGCTGTTCGGACAGTGTGTTTATGGTCTTGCTAAAGGAAAAAGGCCTCAATATTTTAAGAAAAACACCAGACTTCTTTATCTGTACTGCAAGTGTGATGAAGGGGAATAACTTACAATGATTATAGTAGAACACTACTCCAGATCATCTATAGTGGCTAACGTAACTGTCTTTATGATCTTCAGATCATCTGTAGTGGCTAACTTAACCTTTATGTTCTTCAGTGAGTATCAAATACTTGTATTAACACATTTTCTAGAAATCAGTTTTATGTTAAAATTATTTCAAGAATATACTTATTAGTGATTTATTTTTTTTTCGTGGTTTCATATAATATATAAATTATTTGCTTCTATGTGTTGAGAAAATTTTCCAGGTCTGTGGTCATCCTGACCATTAACACTTAAAATTAGCTCCTTACCTTTCTCTCACAAACAACTATTGAAATTTCTAAAGCCAGAAAGGTTCATGAAAAATACATTGAAGCCAATATTTCAGGCAGAAAATGTTAGAGCTTATAACAGAAAGCTATTTGTAGCTTGGTATTAACAACTTAAGATTATTTCCAAACAAACATAGCAGTATTATATATGTTTCTCAAATAACTTAATGATTATGAACCATTCATATTTAAACTGTTTACACTTTAAAAACAGAACAATCTGTAACCACTTACACTAAATGATTTTCTTACCATTGTACAAAAAAGATAACATTTACAACCCTCAACAATTTGCCTGATAATTAAAAAAGAAATAAACAGACATAAGACATGTTTCCATATAAATTGCGTGCTTAAAAATAACTCTCAGAAACCAAAAATTATAACGTAATAGAGATGGAAATTTACAAAACCATAAAATCTAGCAACATCCAGGTTTTTAAACACACAAACAAAATTAAGCATGTGTTATTTAGTCACTTCTGGCTAAAAGATTGTTCTTCTCCGGCTGTAACCACTCCCGAACCATCAGCTCCACCATTGTAGCCAGCTCAGATTCTAGTGCTGACCAGTTACTGAAAGAGTGAACAAAACAATTATAATTCTGTAGTCCACATGTAAAATATTAATTAATGAGAGCTGTAATATCAGAGTTCTGCATTGTTTCTTTTTATTTGCCCATCATGTAACTAAAAAATGATGGTATTAGTTGTCTGAAAAGATTATCTATTTCTTCTGAAGATATGAAAAACACCTGTACTCCATGGCTTAACTGCAGTGTGTGTGTGTGTCTATACATATGACTGTATTTAAAAAATACTGCTCTGTTATTATAGGGCTAAAAAAATGTATTTTAAAGTTAATAACATTTTGTTGAAATATTTGTGATAAATGAAAGCTCACTTATGTTGCACTTATGCCTTTTTAACATAAGGGAATTTACATTACTATAGCTTGACTAATGCAGGATCTACACTAGTAACAACATGTGGATATCCAAACTGGTACGAATGCATTAACTAGGTCCTTCACACAAAGAAATAGGTATTAGAGTTATCTGGGAAGAAGCTTCTCAAGTCGGGGAGCAATCCTTGGTGAGTTGATTCCAAACAACGCTTTCTTGTACTCTCTTTTCAACTTCTGAATATAGTACTGAAGTAACTGGAATCTGAATTGCTCATCAGTGTGGCCATACCCTTATCCAACATCCCACACTAGTGACTTCACATGTTAGACAACTCCTTGAAGTAACTGGAATCTGAATTGCTCATCAGTGTGGCCATACCCTTATCCAACATCCCACATTAGACAATATAAGATCTACTTCCTTGACTCTATGAAACCATGAGTACTTTTAATACAGATAGCCATGGAAAGTTCAGTAAAGGTTACTTGCCACTGTAAGATGGCTGAGGGCAGTACCTACCTGAACATGAACAGAGTCTGACGAAACCCTAAACTTCACATCTTCATGGCTGCACACTACTCAGAGGTAAGTTTTTATAGAAGTAAAGTATGTCTTTTTTTTAGGGTTAGCCAATGGAAAGTTTGAAATTGTTTAACTTTTCTCTGCCAGAAATACTTTCTTTACTGAGATGCTATGTTAATACAGTTGTATAGTGTTTGTTAGGCCTAGCTGACCTGAATACATAACAATGTCAGTTCACCAGTCTATTTATAATTAAACGTAAATTAATGAGAGAGAGAGAAAGGAAAAAAAATAATCCTGACATAATGTTTAGAATGTAATGACCCAAGTATCTGACATAACTTAATGTTTAGAATGTAATGACCCAAGTATCTGACATAATGTTTAGAATGTAATGACCCAAGTATCTGACATAATGTTTAGAATATAATGACCCAAGTATCTGACTTAATGTTTAGAATGTAATGACTCAAGTATCTGAGTTCTTTATTCCACACGTAAACCTCCTCGAGTTGGTGGCTTATGCGCTCCACTCAAGACAGCATGACCAGAAATCCAAATAAATTCATTTCTAATGAGAGTAAAGTTGAACCAAAACAACTAAGCCCACAGGTTGCCCATACACCTGTTACTTTA